AGGTGCCAAGTAGATAGGGGTTTCTCTAATTTGGAAAAAGTCCTACGCATGGTTTAGGCGATAGTGTTGTTCACATACACCCCATGGACGGACGGACGGACGGACGGACGGACGGACGGACGGACGGACGGACGGACGGACGAACAGACGGACGGACAGCCAAACGGACGGACGTTTCGAAAAGAAACCTTTTTTCAGTATTAGGGCACTCTTAAAAGTGCAATTCCGTTGAAATCTGAAAATCGATGTTCCGTAGCATTTCATAACTTTTCCAATACTACGTATACGAGTATTACTCCGTATGGGAAAATAAAAAAAAACTGGATAGACCATTTGAAGAATGAACAATGAGAGATTGACCAAGGCCTATTACTATCTTCCAAAAGGAAAACGAGAAGTAGGAAGACCAAAGAGGAGATAATCTTCGCTAGACAACTTTGCCGGAACAGGGTAGATAAGCTTAATCCATGCTGCTGATACTGATGATGATGGTGATTATGATTAACACTGTGTAAATACATCTTCCTGATTTAAACAGCTTTCTATGAGGGAAAGAAAGTGTAGTTTTCAAATCATTTTAAATTTTGAGTAAACACGACTCTTTCACTTATTCTACAGACCTTTCTCATTTGATTAATGTTAAAATTTCAAGTCACCGTTTAAGGTATTCCTCTTTGCATGCATCTAGAGGGAAACTACTGAAATAAAACTAAAACAAATCATCTGTAAAGTATGAACTTCCATGTCTAACACTGATTCTCGAATAATATTTCAATATTACTAGAACAAAATTGATAAATTATTGTTCATTATACTATTACCCTATTAGTTCACTTCTTTCTTTCTCTAATCTTGAATGCAATTCGAATTATTCCAGTTTACGAATTCTCCAAAGCTCATCGCTTTCGCTCTGTTTCCGGTGGTGGGGAGTCCGAGAGCTCAGAACCGAAGCAGGACAACTGAGAAGCCGTAGGAGAGGTCCGCGGCGGCTGAAATTCGAGCCGCCCCCCCTCCCCCGCTCGTCGCTGCCGCACCGCGAAGACCGATTAGCGCCGAGCGGCAGGGGTGGTGAGTGCGGTCGGGGTGGTATGTCCGTCCGGAAACCGCTTCCATCCATGGTACTCCCCCTCCTCCGCCACCGCCCGTCGTCGACGGCTGCCGCTGCCGCCGGGCCGCGGGCCCATTGGAGCAAGGAGATTGGATTTCGGGCGAAACTCACTGCCAATTCAATTCAGTTCGTCTGTGATAGCGCGACGGTGGCGGCGGGCGGCAGGGGGCGGTGCGTGTGGTGGGCGGCAGGGTGGTGGCTGGGCTGGCGGGCCCGTGGAAGACGATGTGAGCGTGGGGGGACGGAGGGGTGGGGGAAGACAAGGTGGTGGGGGGTTGCCGTGGAGGATGGCGTGAGTGAGCGGGCAGGGGACGGAGTCGTTATGGGGGTGGATCTGCGAGGGCGGCAGGTAGAGGCGGTGGCGCGGCGGCTGCGGCTGACACCGGCGGCTCCCGTCGGCCGGCGGGAATTGCTAATCATCTGATGAGGCCCTTCCGAGTCCCCCATCCCTTGCACCCCCACCCCCGCTTCGCTCCGCAATCCCGCCACTCAACAGGTCTGACTAGCAAGCAGCGTAGAGACAGAGAGGGAGGGGTGGAGGAGGATGGGGTGGCAATCGATGTCTCGATTTCTGAAGAGAGGCGATACACAAGATCCTGCACTCCTTGCTCTTTCTTTTTATTGTTAATCACTTGAAAGTGAAATACAATACCTCAGCTTCCTTGCGAAATTCAAAATTCTTTGCTTATCTTTTTTTCGTTAATCACAAACCTGTTTATTTAATTTTTTTCAGGGGTTTAATACAAACAAAATGTAATTTTTAATTATAGAATTCTTCAGAAAAAGTATTGGTGATTGGAAGTATAACATAAAAAGCATTTCTTGACCCTAAAATAATTTTAGATACTCGTAATAGGATGTACTAAAATAGAAATAACAATGAAAACAATTTGATTGATAGGAAACGTCAACATCAAAATTCTTTCAAATTACGAATCAATTACGAATATTAACTCCAGGGTAGCATTTGCTCTTGTAGTGGATATTGACTTAAGAAAGGGATTTCTAAAACATATTACAAGAGATATAAAATGCTCATTTATATAAAGTCTTTTGAATACATTTGCAGGAATAATAAAGTTTTCTACGTTTCTGCCTTTAAGCTGGGTTAATTAAAACTTGAGGAAACGACACGCTCGGCGGATTATCAAAGATCTTGATGCATTATCACTCTGTGTCAGTGGAGTATCTTTCTCTGTCTCCAAATGTTACACTTTCTGCTAACCGGAATGATGGGTTTTCTTTTATTTTGTCATTTATATTTTTACTTCCAAGAAGTTTTAATTTTTTATCGACAGTGTTTACTTCTATTGACTTATCAGAGGTTCACAAGGCATTTGTGCCCATGACCGAAAAACAACATGTACGTTACATTCAGTTTCCATTCTTTTACCCTTCATGCAAACAAGATTTGCATTCAAGAAGACAGAATAGTCTACCACATGCCACAGACATTTTTATCGCTAAGAAAAAGGCCAATAGTGGAAATTTATGTCCGACACATTCGACGTACGAGCTGGGGAAACTCGAGAGCGTCGTCTTCAAGATTTACCTCTGAGTGAAGCATTGTTTCAGTCCGACGGCTCATGGTTGTCAGTCTCGATATTGAGATGGAAAAGAAAGAAAAAAATACAATAAAATAGCAGGGGAAAGTGGGGGAGAGATTGCGAGAGAGAGAAAGAAAATAAGAGATGGAGAAAGTAAGAGACGGAGATACAAAAGTAGTAAATTCGAAAAAAAGAAAAAGAAGGGAAAGATAATTAAAATGACAAATCGTAAGAAGGAATCATTTACATCGCAACAAGATTATGCCAAAAATAATTAAAAGAAATAAATGAATAAGGGCAATGAAGTAATAGTAGAGTATAATGGAGACACAATGAAATAGATGAAAATGGATGGAAAGAAGACAGCAGAAATTATCCGAAGAACAGAACGAATTACATAACGAAAAGCAGAAGATATGTAATCAGAACGAAAAGGAAAAAGGGATAGGAACTGAGAGATGACATAGAAATATGAGAGGTTGACAAAAGTAGAAGGACAGGGATGTACGAGAAGAGCGGAGAAGAGGATGAAAGAAGGAGAGCATCCGAGAAGGAAAAAAGAGAAACAATAGAGAAAAAGAGGTTGAGAGGAGTGTAGCAACAAAGAAGACACGGCCAAGAGGAGAATAAGAAACAAAGTACCTATAGTACAGAAGTAGGGTAAACGGAGATAAGAGTAGAAACCAATAGAAGGATAAATGTAACGAAAGTGAGAGGAGATGCGGAAGGAAAGGAGACGGAAGAGGCGAATAGAGAGCCTCTGTATAGGAACAGCCGTCGTTTGAGTCGTCTGAGCATCCCCCTTACTGCCCATCCCACTCCCGCCACCCACTCCCCCCGCCACGCTCCGCCACGCCTCGCCGCTCGCTATTCTGGGTCAGGGCTCCCGGACGGAGTCCAGGCAATAAAGCTGAGCGGAGCTGCGTCTGCGGAGGGCTCGCAGCGAGATCCGAAAGCGCTGCTCCCAGATCGTGCATGCGCGCGACGGACTGCTGCACAGCCCGCGCTTGGAATGCTGGCTGGGAACTTTAGGTTGTCTCGGGTTTGGAGAGTTGGAAGTACTGACCGTACGCGCAAGGCAGTGTGTTGAAGTATTTGGTGATTATTTACTAGTCAGCCTGTGTAAGAAGAGGTCTACCGGAAAACGTATAGCAACAAGGTCTTTCCGAACAATTGCATATTTATAAGAAATATTAGAATAACGTAGGTAACGTCCTTAGGTTTTCGAAGTACAAAGTTTTCAAATGTTTTTTTGTATTCAGAAAATTGTAGTGACTTACAAATATTATTTTTAATGTTAATTAATTTTATAATTCAAAGTGGTGACTTTCATTGAGATTTCTAATTTCAAGTTTTAGTCCAGAATTATTTTAGACAGAAATTTTTTATTAAACACATTGGAGCCAGAAACTCATTAATCGAAAACCATAATTTAGATTGAACATTTTATTAAAACGTTCTATTAGTTTATGAAATTCTACATCTGAACATTCCAAGAACTCTTAGGAGTATAAATCTAAGATAAACAGTAACTATTATAAAACAATGAACTATAAGATTGTAGTCATGTTACATAAAACAAATTGAAATTGTTTTAATTACCAAGTTTAAATACTCAAATAAGTTCTGTCTTGAAATATATTTCTTAGTGAGACAAAATGTCCTAAATAATTGATAAAAGCCTTTAAGCTATTATTTACCTCCTTCCGCTTTCATTTTAATAAAATTCTTTAATTTAAAATTCTAGTTTCTCATTAATGTGTTTCTGGTTTCAATTTGTTTAAAAAGGATTGCCTAAAATAATTCTGGAATAAAAATCTAAAGATAGAAAACTTTAAAATAGAGTGCGGAAGTCAGTGAAGCCAAGTTTTAGCAAAATATCGATACATGAAAATATTTTCGATGTCAATGAAAACATCGACAAAAAACATCGATGTTTAAAATATCACTGTTTTAAATATAATTACACATACCGTAATAAAAGGACCTGGTTTTAATGTGACACATGACACGTCAATATTAGATTAACGCATATACTGTCTCAAAATTGAATGTCATGTTAATTTTCTAAGCAATGTTCTATGTAGTCAAGGTTCAATATGCATCTTAAGAATATTACCGTGTAAAAATAATCTACAAATGTAATAACACTAGAAACAGCTGGCGAATAGCAAACAGTTTCGAGCCGTCTGGGGATCGACAACAGTTATAGTTGTGAATGACTGTTGTTTGCAAGCAATTAACACATGTTTTTTTTGCCATCCATTAATTTTAAAAACACATGTTGTTTCTTTTGCCATCCATAGCGGAAGTAGGTATGGGCGTGGGCATGGGCATGTACTCACACGTGCAGCCGCACGGCCGGCGCCTCCACCGCCGTGGCGGCCTCCTTCAGGCGCATGGCGTCCTCCTGCAACAGAGCGGAGCGAGAGCCCGTATTAGCACAATGCAAATCATGCCATGCAGCCACGCGCGGAACACAGACTTAATGTATGCGGCAGACGCCCGTCAGAGACACGCTCTGCCGGGGAGGGGGCTCTATGGCGCATGCACAAGATTTTGATCTACGACACCGCCGGAGAGGAAGCGATTTGCTAACACGCTCATCATCTTCAACTGAAGTCTGTATAATTAACAACTACAAATTATGAGACTGATATTCAATCTGTCATTTGTAATTTGTGTAACTATCATCTCAAGCAATGCAGAAAAGCAGAAAATAGGTCTTAAGAACTTTAAATAAGGCATTTAATATTTGTAAACGATATTTAAAAACAAATACTTTGAAAAATCAAAACATCACCAGGGGAAAGTAAGTTAGTGATAATGTTTTAAATTTAATGTCAGTGGAAATTATGCAATTCAATAACGATGTCGTAATAATGATAGCCACGTAGAATTTAACAACGAACGAACTGTACATCATATTATTATTAGGAAATAATTTCATATAACTGATGCAGTAAGTATTTTTATTGGTTCAATGAAATCATAAGGACTATCTTTACCAATAATTTAAAAAAAAGATGTAAATAGTAGTATACCACAATTGTAAATTGTGGTAGCATAGTTCATTGTTATTCATGATTTATTGATAACCTGTTACTAAATTACAGAATTTTTTCAGCGAAAACCTGAATCTTTCAACATTTCCAACACAATGTGTAGATAATTTGATCGCAAATAAATTCTTCAGGACGTTTAATTTGTTTCCCTACTCGCATTCCAGAGACTAATATAGAACAAATTAACCTGGATTCTCGACAAATCTCTAACAGTTTTAGTGGATCGAGTTCAAAATTGATACCCAATAGTCAGACACAGCACAGGAGTGTGTGGCCTCAGATCTGCCACGACAGCGCTGAGGAATTCGTAAACAAATAAAAGGGAAGAAGCTCGGGAGCGCCGCCTGTGTTACAAACATACGACTGGCACCGGTATCTGTCTCTCCACGGTGCTTCGAGTTTTTATTAAAGAAATTCCTCAGGAAGGTTCGACAATGGAGATTTCCTCAACTTCTGTCAGGAATCTCTCGGCTTTCAATGCTGGTTAATTGGCAGCATCAGCGTTTTTCAGACGGTTACAATAGAAATAAACCAACTATTGATCAGATTTACTTATTTTTGAATAAACTCATTTTTAGATAAACTAGATCAGATTGCTTAGTTTTAGATAAACAAAAATAGTGCATCTGTAGCTTCATAGGATTTATTGGAAATGATTATTTCAAAACAATATTTTAAGACAGAATTAATGCCCTATTAATGTCAATTCAATTGTTACCTTTCTCATTATTTGATAATATGGTCCATAGAGTCATTCAAATAATGTGTTCAGTAAGTTCTGTACATTTTTTCTCCATGACTGAATCCAGATATTTATGGTTTTTTATTATATTCACATAATTTGCAACTGATTTTAAATTGGAAGCAGAAATACAAGTGATGTGTCAGAGAGGTATGTATTGATTTTCCCAAATCATCCGCGTTCACCAAAACGTTAGCCAACAATGTGACACTTTGGAATCTGTAGAGGGTGCCGGTGTCGATATTTATAGGACCTCTGGCAGAGGCGAGAGGAGGGAGGAGGGAGGGTTATTGATTACCCAGAGGGTGCCCTTCATTCCCCCGACCCCCCACCTCTCTCACGGCCTCTGAACGTCCAATTATTTTGTTGCCTCTCCAGGCGAAGCTTCTGCTTCTTTTCTCGGGTCCCATTTCAACCAAGGAAATGACGACCCCTGACAGGAGACAGACGCTCGCCGGCTGTAGAGGCAACGGCGATTCTGGTGTTACGCTTTACACACTCCTTGATTGCCAGATGTTACGACAACTGGAGCAAACATTTATGGACTTTGACTTCTGAGAAGTATAGTTTCGTATTTTGACCGCTGTGAGAACTTCTCCCGATTATAAGCGTGGACCGCTTTCGACTGCGGTAAAACGATACACAAGAACGGGCCTGTGTGACGTTTATTTACTGTTCTGAAAGTAGCCGTGGCCCTGACGTTCGACGCAGAAAATGAACCTTAGATGTGGCATCCGTGGTGCGTTGCACTTGGGCGCGCAGAGGCGGGGACCCCGGCAACGCGCCGAAAGTAAAGCGCGGACGAACGCTGCTCGAGGCGGTTATCGGCGGTGCTCCGGCGCGCGGGGGGGGTCCTTCACTCAGAGCGGTAGGCTAGAAATAAATAGAATATACTGTTTGTATATCTGAACCGATTATTAAAAATGATTTCTGGCAGGTACAGATCTAGGGGACTATGCACAGCCCGAAATATAAATTAATTTTAGCATTTTCAAGTTATAAATGGTCCTGAATATTACCAGGGCGGGGAAGAGCTATGGGGAATATTAAAATGGGTCAGAATTAAACTGTACTGATGTTTCCTCAATTCTGTTAAAATGGCATAACTAATAATTAACATTTATTTCAACAAAAGCATTCAATGTCTAGCTCTGTACATAAAAAGCTTTCTCCCATAAATATTAGTATTTCATGAAAAAAACATTTTACTTTTTTATTTATATTAAAGAATTATGTATATCCACAACATAAAACTGCTTTAAAATATATTTTGACAGGACTTAAAATTCTACAAATATTTCCAAAATGTATTTTAAATATTCAATTTTCGAATAAATATTCCCAAATATTTTTATCAACAGTCAAAGATCCTCTCATAAGACAAATTATAACAAACACGCAAATAAACCAATTGCATCATAGTTCGAGGCAATAACTTATCAGAATTATCAATAACTTAATCTCCTAAAAAATTGAAAAATCAGAAATAAACAAACTTGCAATAAGAATTCAGACGAAGATATTTTGTTTTACTTATATTATATTTAAACAATACACTGAAAATATATTATTAATAAAGGCATTGCAATAATGTAACATGAAAGGAATTTCTCGAATTTTTTATATTGTATATTTGATTTTGACTATTAACTTTAAATATCAAAATTTCATTCTTTGCAATGCAAACTTTTCATATAGAATTGCTTTCAGAGCCAGAAGAAAAATATGATTGAAATGCGGAAGCGTTGCCAAATAAAATAGACAATGTATACAACAATGAAATAATTGTGAAATGTATTTTATATACAAAAATTGAAATGTCTTAAAATAATTTTGGAATTTTAAGTTAGTAATGAAGTGTACTTTTTTGGTCTCACATATGTTCTGATAGCATATCGATTGGCCATTACTAATATCTGACAACTACCAAAAGTTTTCAATTTTAAGCCGCCGATACCGGAACAAAATCGGGTATTTGAAATAATTTAATCAAAAATAGATCAAATTAAATTTGGCCATTTTTAGCCAAGAGATACATTCAGAAAAAAGTATACTAAATACCAGTTGAATTTCATTTAAAAACATAGTACTATTGTTTATGCATTTTGACAAACCTACAAAAAAGGTTAATTAGGCCCCTCTCGATTCTTTCACCCTAGATGTAAATAAAAAATCAATAAAACAGGTTGATTTTCTTGATATGGTTCGCAAACCGAAGATGGTGCTGGTTGATACTGAGCCAACCAAACCCCTTTGAAAAGTGTCATCTAGCTCCGAACGGGATTTTTGATGAAAAATGACTATAGAGGTGTCAAGTGGCCCGAAATGTAAAAACACCGATAGACAAAATGAAAAGATTTGGTTGATGGTTTTAACTAAAAAAAGAGACTTCTGGTAATAACAGAAGACAACCAATAAAATACAAAAATATTACTCGTGAAGCTCACATTTGAGATGGCGGTTTTACCGTTATCATACTGAGATATATGTGGGACTTGTGTTAGATCGTGAAGGACAAGTTACACAAAGCTAGGGCTTCTGGAAGCTACGTGTCAGATACCAGTTAGGCCCGGTCTCCCCTACACTAGTGTGTGTTTTTATGAATTTTGAAACAACAATAACTAGTTTAAAAATTACAACTCAGGGTCAAAGTCAATGTAGTCTTTAATATTCAAATGAAACAATTAATTTTGATCCATATAAGGTATGTTTTTATTCCAATTGGTGTCATAAAAGTACTATCCGTTAAGGTGACAACTTACGTAAATTGCCGACAGATTTTCTTCCTATCTCGTAGAATTGTACTTGGACATTGATATAAATTCAAACAACTATTAAATGCGTTCTCTAATATACTCACTAGTTACATGGACACAGAACATGATCATATACGTGGTTACATGGTCACTTCAAGGCAGTTTCGTATATCACGGAATCCCAATTTCAGTATTGTCCTGCAAACCAATTCCTAATCTATACAGTCGTTTCCGATGCAGCATTTCTGCCAGCGCTCCAAGGAGACACCGCGAGTGTTTCCTTGTTGAGCGTAATACTCTGCTCGAACGCTCTAGTTCTCTGACAACACGCGAAATATCTACCCAGTGCTGGCAATAACACTGTTTAGTGGTGTTAGGTGTTAGTGGATAGTTAATGAGATTAGAGGCACGCCATAGACATTTTACACCAGACAGCCACAGAAATTAAGTGCCATCCTTTTGGGCGTGGCTCATCTTTTATAGCGCATCAAATGAGAATCATTATCATATACGTTCAGAATCTGTATTCTAGTGATAGTTGGTTAATATCTTATTCACAGGAAACTTGATAATATAAACAGCGTTCGTAAGCTATAATGTTTAGATTGAGTTGTTTTGAAAGGAATAAAAAACATCAGCATGATTTGCATTGCGAGTTAATGTTTCTTATATCATTTCACTGAGAAACGTTTCTTTACAGCACAGCAGTTTGTCGACAGTTTCTGTAGTTTTATAATGTCTTGAAGCCAGCACGTACAATAAGTGGAATTGATATTATTAAGCAATATCAGAAAAAAATCCACATTGTTTCGATCACAAAAGACAAAAAAACTCAAAACTGAATTGA